GTTGCAGTCTCACTCTGCTGCCCAGTCTGGAGTGCAATTGTGAGATCTTGGCTCACTGCAACCTCTGCCTCCTGGGTTCAAGAGATTCTCCTGCCTCAGCCTCCAGAGAAGCTGAGATTATAGGCGCCCACCACAGCACCTGGCTAATTTTTGTATCTTTAGTAGAGACGGGGTTTCAGCATGTTGATCAGGCTGGTCTCAAAACACCTGACCTTGTGATCTGGCTGCCTTGGCCTCCCAAAGTGCTGGGATTACAGGCGTGAGCCACCGTGCCAAGCCCATACCTAAATCTTAAAGAAAAAGCCATTTTGGGTAATCTAATGTCTGCTAGGTCCTTTAACTGGGATCCAGAGATAGAGGGTATTACTCAGTGCCAGACACTATTTTAATCAGTTCAGACAAATCATCTCATTTAATCCTCACAACAGCTCTTTGAAGTCAGCAATAAGATGTTTTCATTTTACAGATGGGGAAACCAAGGCCAAGTGAGATTAAGTCTCTTGTTGAAGATCACATGGCTGGTCGTGTGTGTTGAATGAATGGAGCCTTGCTTCAGGCCATTTCTCCTCACCCAGGGATCAGGGTGGTGGGTGAAAGGAGCAGTGTACAGTGTCTCTGGGTTTCTCTTTAACCCCAGAATGAAGTCACAGAAATTCCTGCAGAGAAACTTGGATCAGCGCTTTGTTATCTTGGCATTAAACGGGTGACCTTGAGTGCCAGCTTTGTCCTCAGGTGGGACAAGTCCTTGGCTAACATCTGGGCCTTGGATAAGGTCTTGGGGGATGGCTCCATTCTGTTCCATGTCAAGTGGGGCTGCTGGCCAGCTGCGGGGGCTTCTGCTCAGTCAGGGGCACAGGTGATAGGCCAGAATAGTCAGTTCCTCTTCATGGTCTCCCTGATCCATTTCACGTAGCGGCAGACTTTGGTATAGACACCAGGCTTGGTGGTATTGTCGCAAGGGACGTCACCCCAGGACACAATGCCCTGTAGGATGCCCCCACAGACCAGGGGTCCTCCGGAGTCACCCTGTGGGGAAAAGAGGGGGTCCCAGGTTGAGTGAAACCTCCTGGATTCAGTGCATTCATCCTCATCCTAATCACCATTTGCAGTCTCACCCCAAACCCAAGCCATCCCCATCCCAGGGAACCCCAACCCAACTCAACTCAATACAGCCCAGTTTATCTCAAATGGAGCCAACCCAACCCCAACCGCAATTCAACACAGCTCAATGCAACTCACCCAACCTACATCCAGTCTCACACCCATGAACCCCAATGCAGCTGAACTAAGCTAAATCCAGCTCAGCCGACATCCTCACCATTCAGAATCAAACCAAACCCATGCCTATCTCACAACCCAATCCCAATCTTCATGCCTTCTGCATTCCAAACAAAATCTACGCCATCCCAATTCAACTCTCACATATTTCCCACCCAAAATCAAACCAAACCATTCCCATTCTCAACCTCAACCCATGCCATCCCAAACCAACTATCACATTATCTACCTCAAACAATGCAATCCCCACCTATAACCCCAACTCCAACCTCACCCCTATTCTAACTTCTCTTCCTACTCCATCTCCAAGTCTAACCCTAGCATCTTCTCTGGCCCAAAGCAAAGAAAATCCAACCCCATCCCCACTCCCACACCTGTCCCCACCCCTCTTTCTCTGCCTGATGGCCCCGCTGGGCTCTGACCTCACAGGATTCCGCGCCTCTGCCGTTTGCGCCTGCACACATCATGGTGTTCGTCAGGCGCCCTGGGTAGTTCTTGTCACAAGATGCGTCGGAGATAATGCTGATGTTGGCACAATGCAACGTATCTGGGAGACTCACTGGGGAGGACAGTGTACTTGGAGCAGATCCATAAATTCTGGCCCTTGTCCCCTCCGCCCAAGAGCCCTGGAGCATAGGATTCCTTGAGGCCTCGTATCCAGCTCTATTCTTTCACGCACCTTGTGACTGGGGGCTCCCTGTGGTCCCAGGCTCGTTGTGGGACACCAGGCCCCAGCCAGACACCACACAGGCCTCCCCCGGGTGGGGGCAACGCGTGGGTAGCACCACGGGGCGCACCTGGGGGGTCAGGCGTGCGGGCTGGACTAGACGCAGCAACATGATGTCATGGCGGTGGCTGCGCGCTTCGTAGCGCGGGTGTGGGATGACCCGAGACGCGGTCCTTAGTTGCTCTGGGCCATCGCGCTTGCGCAGGTTGTGCTCTCCCAGGCGCACTCTCATGAAGCTGCGCGGGTGAATGATTTTCCCGCCAGTTGGGGGCAGGCCAGTGGTTACCCGCAAGTAGAGGACAGAAGGATCAAAGAGTAGGCAGGCCGAGGTCCCCAGACCCTTTTGGAATCTCGACATCCCATGACCTTTTCCCAAGAGCCTGAAACCAATGGTTCCAGCCCCTGCTCCTCAGGGACCAAGGATTCTGAAGTCAGGCAAACTCCTAGAACTCGACCCCCTTCAACTACTCCCAGCCCCATCCTGGGCTCTCCCCAAATCCAGGATTCTTAGATTCCTAGAACTGAGGCTCAAAAGCTGGAACTAGTCTTCTTCCTCCCTCAGATATCTAAGGTTTTGAAACATACACTCCCTCTCACCCAGGGGCTTGACATCCAGCCTCCTTGTCCATCAGAACCCAGGAGTTCTGGCGTCTGCCTCTGTCTTCCCCCCAATTCTAGGAGCTCTTCCCCCAACCAGGCTCCCTCAGGACCCTGAGCCCTGCCTTCATACCGGCTTTGGCAGTGGGCCGCAGACAGCACCCAGTGTGGGGAGATGAGGGAAGCGCCACAGTTAAAGCGACCACGCTCGTAGAGGGCCACTTGCCATGGCTGGGAGTGGGGTGCACACTCCTCACCTTCCAGCAACTTGTCACCATCCTGGGCTGCTGGGAGAAGGGATAGAGGGTGCCTGAGGATAGGGACCTTTGCATTGCCTCCTACACATTCCTCGCACCCTGCACTAACTACTATATGCCTATGCTTTCCCCTAACTTCTCAAGATACCCTGCTCTGTTTTTTTTGTTTTGTTTTGTTTTGTTTTTTTGAGATGGAGTCTCACTTTGTTGCCCAGGCTGGAGTGCAGTGGCACCATCTCAGGTCACTGTAACCTCCGCCTCCCAGGTTCAAGTGATCTTCCTGCTTCAACCTCCTGAGTAGCTGGGATTACAAGCACCCGCCACCACACCTGGCTAATTTTGGTATTTTTAGTAGAGATGGGGTTGCACCACATTGGCCAGACTGGTCTCGAATTCCTGACCTCACATGATCTGCCCGCCTCAGTCTCCCAAAGCGCTGGGATTACAGCTGTAAGCCGCTATGCTCCACCTGTCCTATTGTTTATTTACAACTGCTGCCTGTTTTCTCCAAAACTCTAGTGCCCACTCCATTTGCTATAAGACTGGGAGGGAGAGGAAGGGGAACAGACCAGAGGGCAAGAAGTCCTCTGTGGTTGCGGGTGGAGACGGGGACACTGGATATAGGTTTAGACAGATGGTCACCTGAAACCAGTCATTCAAGGTCACCAAATTGTCACAGACATCAAACGGGATGTGGTCATACTCAGTATGTATGACACAGCCTTGGCCCCAGAGTCTGGACATGTCAGCGACATTCAGTGTGCAGTATG